TTCTTGTAAAAATAAGAAGATTCAATTGCCAAAAACAGATAAACCAATTTTTTATTATCAATGGAATACCGAGACTGTAGAAAGGAAAGATGCAAAAAATTTAGATTATCACGTAAAAATCATGAAAAAACAAAGGTTTGAATATATGATTTAAGATATTGTGAATGAAGTAAATTTACAAGCACCAACATATTTGAAGTACGTTTACGACACTAGGCATCAGTACAGAACAATTGATAATATAAAAAATAATTTAGGCGCCGACGAAACACTATGTGTCAGATTTTTCTCAAAATTATTACGGTAAAAGTTTGTCTGAAATACAAAGCGCACATTTCGGTGCATCTAAAAGGCACATCATGTCTCTTCACAGTGAAGCTTTTTCTTATAAAAATTGTGACTCGAAAAAAATTGAATGAGTTACATTCGGTACATCATCGGAATATCTTCGCCACGATGCTTCCTAAATCTGGGCTCATATGCAGCCAATATTTGGAATCATTAAAACTTTCGTTCCAAAACTAATTTACATTTCCAAAGCGATGGACCTTCCACCCAGTATAAAAAAAACGAATTTTTTCTTATTTAAGTTGCATTGTCAACTTTTAAAACTAACAAATGCAACCTGGAGTTTTACAACAGCTGGTCATGGCAAAAGCTATGCTGATAGTATCGGAAGGATAATCAAACATACGACAGAGCGTGGCATGTGGTAAAGAAGTTAAATTCAGCCCATGACATAATTGACGTTATCACGAAATCAGAAAAACTATCGAAAATACACATTTTTTTGATAGAAGAAAGTGATATTGTTAAGGTGGACAATTTATTGATTAAGAATTTGAGACCCGCGCCGAATTCGAATAAGATTTATCAACTTATTTGGACTTTAGAGTCGAAAGAAATCTTATTTTTGAATTACCTTTCGTGTTCTTTGTTTATATTTCAACCATCATGTACTCACTTTACTTTCAAGCCTGATAGATATTCTAACAGTAGCTTAAAAGTTTCGGAATCAATAAAGAAATTTACAATAATCTGTAATGAAAATAAAGAGTATAGAAAAAAATTCAACCTGATAAACAACTAAAGAAGAAAATAGAAAGAATGATTAAACAATCACACAAAAAAAAGATAAAATTACTAAAGAAAAAGTAACCTCAAAAACAAGAATAAGTGCCAGAATTGCAATAATGACAATAGATCAAAGTTAAAAAATACACAAACAAATTTCTTTCGAATAAAAATATTTATAAAGTAGAATGTTTTTTATTTATAGTTAAACTATTTATACCTGTAATTAAAGAAAATTACCAATTGTTTTTGTTATTTGTTATTTGTTACAGCAAAAAATTGGATAAATAAATTATTAATATAGTTTAAAATAAAATTTTGTTTTTTCATCGATCGATGACGTCATAACTTTTATTTAACCTAATTAATTAAAATAATTAACGTTTATAAAATTTAGATCTTCAATATCAACAAAAAACATACACCAAAACTTGAAAATTAAAGGATTTGTGGATTTGCACATATATGTGCGTGTGCGTGCCTCTGCAATGTGTGTGTGTATCTACACACATACACATGCACGCATAAATTTATTCTAATAACATAAATAAAATAGCATTTTCATGTTTTTGACAATTGGAGAGAAAAATTGTTATTGATAACCTAATATATAATATATATTACAATCATCAATTTCCTGATTAAGGACTTTATTATATTAAAAATTAATAGTTAATAACCAAAAATAATTATAGTTATCGATAATTTTCTAACTGTATTGTAAGAAAATAAGAAATTTGAAATTCTATTACGCGAATCAGTGCTTATGGTTTTCCAGCTGTATCCTTTTCATTTTTCATTTTTCATCAATTTTGAATATCGCGTTGGATTCCTTATTTGCAATAGAAAATCTATGTGTTATGTTTTGTAATCATATAAATGCTCAAAAAGTTATAAATGTTAGGGTTAAGCAATTGTGCGAAAGGAATATAATTAGTTATATTAATTAAGGTGAACTCAAATATAATTTTATTGAAAATCGGTACAAAAAATTTAAACTATTTCCATACAAACTAAATAGTCGTCATGAAAAACCTCACCGTGTGAGAAAAAAGCCACTATTTTACAAAACAAAACTAATCTAAATTAAGTGTAGCGCGCGCAAAACAGAGAGAAAGGAACAACTTGCCTCGTCGGAATCCGAACGCACAGTGCTTTTTCTTTTCTGCGTCATGTCGTATGCTGCCGAATTTTCTGCCAGCCTAGCCATCTACGCCGTCTCGCTATGTGCACATGTATTGAGCCTTGCAGATACGCCTGCACGCTTATAACACTCCTGTTCTTTCGCTCTTTCTCGATCGCCAGACTGCCGGTCCTAATGACAAGCTATATCATTGCTCTATCCGTAACTCTTGAAGCAAAATGAAATGACCCACGCAACCAAGAGCGAACCCCACACACGGGGTCTGCAGTCTTCGGGGAGCAAGCTCCACGAATCTGAAATTTCTGGCTTCACGATTGCGTAACGCATTCCACGCTGGTGCACGTTCATGGGTCGAGTTTGAGCTCCGAGAGCAGTACCGCTGACTCGATTGTAGGTCTGTGACAAGCCACCCTGGTGTTCTTCATCGCATCATCTGTCGCTCATTTAGGCCGCTGTTTCATTCTCACACGCTAAAACGAAGACTACATCAGTACATCCACTCCTCTCTCACAATTAACTCCAATCAATTAGTGGTAGAAAGCTCGATTCTAGTTTCGCTACATGGTTAATCGATAAACAATAATCGTTGAGCAACTATTTAGCCGCTTTCGCAATTAAATAATTATCATTAGTTAGAATACTAAGCTAATTGTACATTGTTGCCACAAACTTACTTCCTAACCGCAAGCTAAAACTAATCAACTACGCAACTGTGGATTCATTTTCATAATTTTTTGTCATACCACGTGACAATAATCAGACCCAAGAGCAGCAGTGAACTTTGTTTTCCGTTTTTATATGCTTTTACGAATTTCGACCGAAGGTCCGAACTCAAGCAGCATGCACGGTGATCGTGAGCCACGCTTGTCATCAACGCGTGTGCCTTTTCTCACTCGACGCATTTCCTCTATTCTCTTTTTTTGCTTTCAAAATACATAGCACTATTTTCGTGTTACTTATCAGCCAGTCGAATTTTTATTATTTCCTATCTTACGTCTTTATTTATTCTCGCCAGCTCGTTTTACTAAAACCGTTACTTCTTGTTCGCGTCTCTCGCAAGGTCTCACACTCGATGCTCAGAACTCTTTCCGAAAATAAAGATCTTTTATTCAACGTTTGTTACAATAAGTAAAACATTCAATATATTTTTCAATTAGCAAAATCAAGCAATCATTTAATCATCATTATTAGTTTACTTTTTACCGCTGAAATCATATTCTCCTTTGTTGCAACCTGTAGAATCAATTGCCACCAAACAAAACGTAAGTCTCAAAAAAATTAATGTTACGACGGATATGTCCATGTGTGTGTGTGTGTGTTATTTGTTGTACTTATGCTATTGGTTAATAGATCGACTAGCATAAAAGCTTTGTGAAAGTCATTTATAGAATTGTGGAGCTGGTATGAGTGAGCAAGAGAGTAGATGGGCCTGGCACTTTCCCTCTGCGTGGAAAAGTATCAGACACTTCGGGAAAGCGATGGAGAGAGGGCAAGCGTCCTCTCCCCTCCCCTTATCGAAGGGAAGTAAAGAGAGAGTGAGCGCATCCCCAGCACTTCAGTGCTTGGAGGACGGCGACACTAACAGCATGTAATCTATGTTTAGTCCTTCAAGTGTAAGTCCCTTATTCTCATCCCATACGTATGATTTCCCACAGAATTATGTTTTCTTACTATTTTTTAGAAAAATATTTTGATTTAAAACAATGGTTGAAATTAAATTTCAATATTTTATGCGCATGAAAGTTGGTATTATAGCAACAAACACATCTGATTATGGCTAGGTAAATACTAAAAAGTAAATTACCAAGCTCTCATAACGTTTTCTTATTATTCTCGTGAAGGCAACTCTCAGTCAAAGCATTTGTTCATGTTTCTTAACCTGAAAAACTTAAAAATACATTTAAGCAAATGAGAAAGAGATAGAGAGATATCATATTTTATATAGATAGAAAAATCGAATAAAAGTATCAAGTATCAATTGAATCAAAATCGAACGTGACATAGTTCTGGTAACATTTGGCAGCAATATCGAACTCCAGTTTCTGCCCAATGCCCATAAAGACTTTAAAAAGCGCATGGGAGGGGGACTTTTGATATTCTATTATATGCGTATATACAATACGTAGTCGTACTATAAAAGTTTGTAATAAATGTTAGCTTTCAAACGAACCTTTGCGTACAGATTGGGGATTGGAATAACAAGCACCAAAATAAATCGAATTTCAAATCTTTATACCAATCTCAGATTTCAAATGAACATATACTCTTTGCAACTCTTCCAAATTACAGTTTCTACCTTTCTTTATGTATTAATGCAGTCATCACATACTTAGCTTTTATGAATAAATGAAATAAAAATAGAAGAGTTTAACAATTCCAACAATTATTAAAATATTCAAAATAAAAGTCTCTCGTCGTATAATATAAATACTATGTCACCAAAACAAATAGAATTTTTTTACTGACGTATATATGATCGAAATGATAGTCAGTTTAATTGTATGAAAAATATATACGATATATAGTAACTATGTAAAGTCAGTTCTAACGTATCCTACTTATTTGTCAAAATATAATTTTGTAAAGCATCAACGATAAATTATAGTTTGCGGTTGGAACAACCGCGGCATGATACATTGTGAAAAATTCACACGAGCTCAAGCATATTGGGTGAATTTATCTTTTGGCCGTAACACAAACGATGAACTAGCTTTGCCGTGGAATATGTAATACTTTTTAGCCACAATATAAATATCAAATATTTGTTTGTTTTATTTATTAGGCAAGAGTTACTAATGAATGCTGCGATTGAAGAAAACTATCATCTCCATGAAGATATTTACGAGTCATTGAACTACATTTGTGGTAAGTAGTTTTCAGTTCCTACGAAAATTAATTCCATTTGTTTAATTACATACAATAGTACAATTAAGAGCAATAGAGAAGCATAACTGGTGTTATTTCTAGAAGTAAAATTTACGTATAAAAATAAAATTTGTTTTATGACACCAAATGACACACTAAAGTAGACTCATTTCACAACAGTTTCTTAATTTGTAAGAATATTATGAGTTCAATTGAATAGTCCGCAACCTCGTCACCGGAGTATGCTCAAATATCTCATTCTTGAAAATGATCTAAATTACATCTCAAATGTTATATTTAAGTTTTAATCCGTTTTAGAGATCATTTCACTCATACTCAAGTTTAACCAAAGGTTCAAATACAACTACATTTAGTTAAGATCATAAATCAAACGAATACCATTCAAAATCGATTTGATCAGATAGAAAGTTATATATTGGCAACCTTTCATCGAAATAATGTTTATTTCGAAGGTTTGTTTTGAATCTTGGTATAGTGTCGTACCACCTTATTCATACTTGGTTGTGGCCGAAGGGAGAATGAGAAAATATGCACCTAGCTACTTCTTAGGCTTCTGCAAGTCAATACAAGCCTCTATCGTTTTTAAAAAGCAGCTTTAGCAAGAATTCTTCATATTTCTTATTACAAAAAGTCGAAGCCATTCAAGAAATATGTATCACGTAATTAGGCAATTTATTTTTACTTCACTATGTTTAAAAAGATTTTTATTGTATAAACGATATAATTAGTTTAACATATTCACCCTTTGTTTGGTCTAAAAGTCTCAAAATTTATTGACCACACACTTTCAAATAAATGTGTCTGCGCTGAAGCGTGAAAAAGTGGTAGGTAATTAGGGAGGCAAAAGTAAGAAAGAGACAATAGCATTGAGGCCGAATGAACAGGTGAAGCAATGAATGCTTCAAACATTGTTCCGCGAAGCACACTACATAAATGTCTCGTTAATCAAGCACAGACAGCTGATGCACGCGGTACTTGCAGCATTATGGTTCAAGGGCCAAGAAGGAAATAGAAGGGGAGAGATAGCACGCGAGAGAGCGAGCGAAAGAGAGAGAGAGAGAGAGAGAGAGAGAGAGAGAGAGAGAGAGAGAAATGCATATAACAGTAGTAGGTACGTGAATGTTGGCTTGGCTCTCGAGATCATTGACGAACCGCGGCCAGCCCGAACTGTGTCAATAGCCGACGCTATAAGAGCGCATTTAGGGTCACTGCCGTGGAATGATGAAGCGGAGTTAAAGAGGAAGGATGCAATTATACACGACACGCCGAGTCAGAACACATAGTTTGCTTCTTGCAACTACCCTACAAGAAGAAAAGCTCTCCTAACTTCCCTTTCTTTGCCTCTCTTTCTCCCTTTCGTTCAGTGCCTTTTTCTTTGATCGCATTTTCTACTTATCTGCAAAGTGATTGTTTCAAGTTTTATCCGGTAAATCCGTTTAACAAGCTATCACAAAAGAACGCAACAATTTGCCTCACTTGAAATTATTTCGGCGCTTTTTTTATCTTATCAATCAATTGGCTTCGCGTAAACCGTGCATCAAATTGTTTCCCTATGCGCTTTCAATTTTACGACGTTCAAGTCTCCCGTGGTCTAACATATTACCAGTTTACCCAAGAGACCACTGATTCACATAAAATATTTCCTTTCATATTCACACCTTCGAGGGAGCCAAACATTTTTTGTTTTTTTTTTCATTTAAGCTCCCTCCACCAATATCAATAGCACACTAATATATATATATATATATATATATATATAGTAAATAGAGTAATATATATATATATAGTAATAGAGTTTCTTTATTTACTATATATATATATAGTAAATAAAGAAACTCTATCGCGACTTTTCTCCCATGGTTTGGCTAAACGGCATATAATTAAATCATAAAACATTTTTTTATAGATAGAAGGCCGTACCTAGAATGTTGGAGCGCTCCGAATAGCCGTTTTCCCCTAATAAATTAAAATATCAACAATCTTTTCGCGTTGTCATTTTTGTTTACATTTACATCAACAACAAAATATTAGCGCCCATTATAACCGAACACGTATATTATTCCAACCTTAAAAAATAATTTTATAAAAGTTTACTGATGAAATATTTATCGTTGATAAAGATTCAATGTAAATAATTGCAAATATCTTATTGCGTTATGTGTATGTGGATAATATTCATTTTTTTTGTGAAGCACAAGTAATTTAAAAATGTCTAGTTTTCAGTAAAAAAACTCTGTATAACTTGTATATTATTATTTAAATTATTGAAATCATATATACCACGTCAACTTTCTTTCAATGTTCTGCAATTCTTTATGTAGTGAGATATCAATATCTGCAATTATTTAGATTGAATCATTATCAATAACTCAATAATTCATCAGTAAACTTTTATAAAATTATTTTTTAAGGTTGGAGTAATATACGTATTTGGTTATAATAGGTACTAATATTTTGTTTTTTATGTCAACATAAATAAAAATGACAGCGTGAAAAGATCGTTGAAATTTGAATTTATTAGCGAAAAACGGCTGCTCGGAGCACTCCGAGATTGATTCATAACATTCTAGGTACGGCCTTTTTTCTATAAAAAAAGTTTTATGATTTAATCATATGCCGTTTAGCCAAACTATGTTGAGAAACGTCGCGACAGAGTTTCTTCATTTACTATATATATTTTAGTGTGCTATGGATATTGATGGGGAGGCCTTAATGCGATATCATTATTACAAAAAGTCTCAAATCGCTCTGTCTCTATTTAATTATGATTCCGTGCTTGATCAGAAAAACTGTAACTTCATGTAGAATTTCCTGCTGAATGCGAATTTTTGGGTCATAAATCGCGAACAGTGGGGCGTTTTCCGGAAAATTTGATTTTTCTGACAGGCCTTGAAAAATGGAGTTTTTCGAATCGAAGTAATTAAAAAAAAGTACTCTAAAATATGAATCAAAATAAGAAAAAAATCTTCTATATGTGTTATATTGGCAAAATCAATAGTTTAAAAGATAAACACGATTTAATGTTGCAAAACGCCGTATTTATCACATTTTTCCAGAGTCTATAACTTTTATAAAAATGAGTATTTTTGAAAAATACGACAGATTTGAATTCCTTGAACCGTCGCCCTTCTAATGATATGTATATGTTTCATGCGAATGAAATTTTTAAGATTATTTTTTACAGCTCTGAACAAAGTGCGTTTTCGCTGCGGTAACGTGCGCACTTGTCGCCTCTGTCAAGCCTGTGTGTTGTTCGGACATGGGGCTGCTAGGTCGCACACGTTTTGCACTTGTTTCAACGTGCAATGTATTTAGTTCATGTAACATCCAGAACAGTCTGTGTTACGATGCGGCTTGTTATTGAATTATAAAGTTCTTCAAGTTCCCGCTTGTTGGTGGATTCCAAGATGAAACAAACGTTAGATCGTGTATTACTTATTTAAAAAAATGTTCATACAAGTATTATAGTAGAACAGTTTGTCGTGATAAAATAATCGAAGTATCAAAAACAAAATACGACAAAGTTTACAGGCGCCTGATGAGCTTGGATGATACAAGTGAGTAAGATCGAAAATCGAGCGATGGAATGCTCTTCACTTGGAGAACAAATGATTTATTATTTTTTTTTATTTCAAACAGATAACATTTATTATCACAAGACATGCCTTAGAAAATAGTTTATAAATAAAAAGATGAAATTTTTGAAAGAATAGCAAGTTTGCATTCACTATAAGTAATCATCGAAAGTCAAGTGACTATAATGCAAGAGATATAAAAAATAAGATTCACTTAGCGAAAATATCAAATCGTTTGAAAGTGCTCGTGATAATATATTACCTGTAAATGAAAGTTCTCCGATCAGTGATAACGATGATCCACAGCTTATAGCTTTGCGTTACATAAAAAGTTTAGAGCCTAATATTTATTCAAGAGTAGCGTATGAACTTTGTAACGTTATAAAAATAAATAATGAAAAATTATCGTGTGCAATAGACGATCGATTTATTGAAAAATTGTTGATTGAAATTTTCGAAGAAAAAGTTTCTTTCTCTTATCCACGTTAGAAAAATAAGTCTCAATTCTTTTTTTTTCTCAAAAATTGATTCTCTTGAAATTTCTGATAAGCTGAGAATGCATACAAGCGTTGAAGAGGCCGCCACAGCCTTGATTTAAAAATAATAAACATGACATAAATGATTCAAAAAAATCTTTACCAAATATAGTGGTGCCTAAAATGTGGAAACAATTTTTTTTTCAAACTTTGTAATATAGAAATTTTTAGATTAGAAAATTTTAAATACTGTGTCGCTAACGAAGTCAAGCAGGATATTAGAGCTTTCAAGATTTTTTCATTATTCCAAAATATTTTCTATTTATATTGTAACGGAAAACAGCGCACTCCTTTACACATTTTAATCGGAATGACTGTAATTCAACTCAATTCAACGACCTTTTGAAGTCTTTATTTACTCCCTCATCATGCAATAAAAATTGTCAATTAAGTTAAAAATGCATTGAAAAAATTTGTTTTTATAAAAACTAATTTAAGTAACTTGAGTTTGATTTTAGTAACTCTATGCAGCACAATTCTTTAAGAGTGGCTGTTTGTTTATATATTTTCCAATTAAATTATTGGTTTCAATGATTCAAAAAGTTACGAATATTCAATTGTTTTTTGATTAAGACCAAGTGTGACTAATAGTTGACAATTTTATTGCCTGATGAAGGATTCATAAATAAAAACTTCTAAAGTCGTAATTATTTCAACATCATTTTTACTTGTAGCGAATGTTAATTTTAATTACCAAATAAAAATACGAACACGTTTAGCTGATTATACGGCTCGATCATCCAAATTGATGGTACCTTTATTTACTCACTTTGATCCACATAAATTCAATAAGTCTGCCATGGATAATTTCGACCACCAGGAAAATACGACATCACAGATACATGGATCGCACGACATAGTATTGATT